ATATTTGAAATTATTTGACAAAATTTTAATTAATTTGATCAAATATTTGATTCAAATTCAAAATTTAGTTTGATTTTATAGAGTACTAATTGTATATATCTATATCTATAAATGTTCATCCTTTATTTTTATATGGTTTAAACATTATACAGTTGTCCATCATTAACATTAGCCCTGTTAATATCAACCTAAGCTATAAAATGAATTTCTATATATTAAATTATACTTATTAATACTTCTTCATATATATTAACTTTAATATGTTTTCTTACTAATATTACTATCAATATGAATATAAAAGTAATTCCAATAGGTTGATATAAATAAGGGACGACTATAAAAAAATATTTTTATTTAATATATTAAGGTATAAAAAAAATAATGATTTAAATTATAAACCTTTTGGTAACATGTTTATATCTTTTTATTTCTACCTATTAAAAATGCTAGTTCAGATCACAACTGTTTTAAGAAATGAAAAACAGAACATCAGAATGTTCATTATTGTTTTGTCTCTGTAAAGATGGAAGACAATTTGCACTTTATTTCCAACCTTTTCAGTGATTATATCACAAGACGATAAAGCCAAGGTACCTCTTAGCATTCCTGCAATCAGTAAAAGTTTTAGGACTATACAAAGTATAAATGAGCCAATTATTGTTCTGGACCATGACTTTTCTGTTGGTCACAACAGAAACTTGTTCTATTGGTCTACTTAATCATTGATCCAAGTAATATGAATAATACACTTCATAGCGGCCAATTATCAATCTATATTTGGCCACAATATGAGCTAAGAACAAGCTTAATTACTTATATAAATGATCTAAATTTGTTGGTAAATAGTAGCTGTTTTGACAATATGGTAAAGATTGATAATAAAATAAGACCTATCTGGATTCTTCTCATAGATGGAGGTCCAGATGAAAATCTCCACTACCTAAAAAATATCTTCAACTACTGTAATATGTTTTGCTCTTTTGATCTTAATTATTTAACAGTTAGAACTCATGCATCAGGTTAGTAATCTAGAATCTATTAAAATAATTTAGTTAGCTAATCAATTTTATAAGAAAATTTCTATTTTTGCCTAGGTTAAAGTTGTCTAATCAACTATAATATCATTTATATAACTAAAATCAATAGTATTAGTAATATTTCAAGTTACTTTAACCTGAATAAAAATAGAATTTCTCAAATTATAATTTATTAAAATAGTAATTAACTGAATTGTAATATTGATTAGTTAAAAATTAACTAGCTAATAAATATTAAATAACTGATTAGCTAAACATTAGTTTGTTATATTAATTACTCAAGGTTACTCAGCATACAATCCTGTTGAGAGGAGTATGGCAACTCTTTTAAGAAAACTTGTAGGCATGGTTCTGCCTGTTGACCACTATGGTACCCATCTTGACTTACAGGATAATGTCATTGACACAGAGCTAGTAAAGAAAAATTTTGAATATGCCAGTGATCTTCTTTGCAATTGGTAGAAATAGGACAATATATTTAGAAAGCCAGTTGTAACTGAATACATCGATGTAAAAGGAACCTCAAATTCAGATAATGTATCTTGGAAATGGATAGAAATCCATACAAAGATCTGCAAATACTCATTAGATATAAAGAAATATAATAACATCAAATATTGCTCTCCCAAAAGATGTGAGAAGGCTGCAAGCCTTCTTGCCTCAAATAATGGTTTTCTCCCCCTTAAGCAATGGGAAAAGATGGGCATTATATTAATTCAATACATCTATTAAAGTATTTTAACAAGAAAAAAATACCAGGGTATGATTAACTTTGTTCTTTCATAGCTGATAATTATATAAATTACTTCTGCTCTGTTTGTGGAAAGTATTTTTCAACAGTTTCAATAGTTACTATTTACAAAAAAAGCCAATATTCAAAGAAAGTTAGTTTTACTAAACATAAATCTGAAAGGCTAAAAAAAACTAAAACAACAGCAAAGAAAGTCTGTCCAACAAACATGGATCTGGAAGACCAAAAAAAACTGATATGATGACAAAAAAACAAAAAACTGAATAAAATTTTTCATTTATTAATTTTTTTATTTAATAAATTTCTATTGTAATAATCTGAAATAAAGATTAATTTTAATAAAGAAAGGATAAAAAATTATAACAAAACTTTAACAAAATGTTTAGCACTTTGCTTTATATTCTACCTAAAAATTCTTATCAGCAAAGGTTTTAAATCTTAACTAAATAGTATACATTCCTTAAAAAAACCTTTTTAATTTTATTTAGTCAATTTAGTTCTGTGGTCCAGTAAAAATTTATATATTTTCTGCTGTTATAAATAGTAAAATACATGCAACCCAAAGACCTCATAATCTATATTAAAATTTGGATTTTATTTATAGAATTTGAAATTCATATAAATAAATCAAATTCCTAAATCTATATATATGAAGAAGACTCCTATAACATAAAGAGGTAGTGAACAAAGTCTATTACTCTAATTTTTCAAAAAGTTGCATTTTAAAAAAAAATTTTTCTTTCGCACACTGCTCCTTTTTGCTGTGAAAGTTCCATATATGTTATAATTTAAATTTTGATATCCCTTTAACTGCCAAAGTTTATAACTTAATCTTTATATTTGCTAATATTATTTAATCATCTGTCTACCATATTGATAAATCTGAAATTTTGTTACTTGAATTCAGTTTTAATAAAAGTTCCAAGTATAGGTACCAAGTGTATGAACCTTTTAGTGAACATTGCAGTATTAGGGAACTAAAGACTCTATTTATTAAATATAGTTATATTAATTAGTAAATGTATTAATTTTGCTATGTATAATGACTAGTTTGGGGCTTTATTAATTAAATTGATGCACATACTCAAGCCTCCTACTAAAAAGCAAAATCTACAAAAATAAAGAGGATTTTATCATACTGTCATATTAGATCTGGAATTGATACATATGAATTAGATATCAGTACAAAAGACATAGTTACATAAAATAAATTATATAGCAGTAGAGATGGGTGAATTGGTTTGGATTAGTTTAATATATTTTATAATATATGCAGGAGCTGCATAAATTAAACTACTCCAAACTTTCTATCTCTACATAGCAGTCATGTGAACAGTTAGAATTCATTATAGTATTGATATGATTTTATAACTACTAATTATGCGCACATAGACTATAACACAATCTTGCAAGAAAAATAACTATTAACCATTAGTTACTGTGCCATACAGGCTGTTATGACAATCTTGTAAGGACAATAACTGTTAGAACTATTAGTTACTATGCCAAATGGAGCTGTTATGACATAATCTTATGAAAACAATAACTGTTAAAACCGTTAGTTACTGTACCAAATAAGGTTGTTATAATATAATCTTGTAATGATTAATTACTGCACTATATAGAACTATTAACCAACCATTTGGTAATTATGTAAGGGGTTTCTAGAGGGTTTTCAAAACCCTGGGTCTAAGAAGAAGGTATATTTACATAATAAGTAGAATTTTCCTAACACCAACCTCAGTTAATGATTTTGGCTTTGTAAGATTAATATGCCAGAAGCAATTAATTTTTCTTGAAGGCTGTTGATACTGCTGCATTAAATTAATAACTTTATTATGAACTGCCTTTTTAGAAAAACTATATTCTAATGTTTATTATTGAACATTTTCTTCTGCATCTACTTTAACTTGCTTATGACACAAAGAAAATTCATTGTAATTAGTATACTTGTTGAGATGTGATTCTGCAATGTCCTAAGAAAAAAATGTATCACCAACATTAATCTGGTTATCAGATCCACCAATGTTAATTTGATTATTAGACCCTAAGATAATACTTTTGTTTAAAATATCATTATGATTATCAGATTCTAAGATGATACTTTTATTTAAAACATTATTACAGCTGCTCTGA